AATACTGAATACCTACCAAGGTTGTTAGTGATAACACATCAACTTGAAATACTGAATACCTACCAAGGTTGTTAGTGATAACACATCAACTTGAAATACTGAATACCTACCAAGGTTGTTAGTGATAACACATCAACTTGAAATACTAAATACCTACCAAGGCTGTTAGTGATAACACATCAACTTGAAATACTGAATACCTACCAAGGCTGTTAGTGATAACACATCAACTTGAAATATTGTAATTGATTTTGCTTGATGTACTTTTTTGAAGTGATAACATGTTTCTGTAACACAACTGAAACAGCAGTATTAACATATATATTATACATGGGATTGGAGTAAAGAATTTGTGAAAGAAAAATATTTATTTCAAGGGAAAAAAAATCCAGAACTTACAGTGAAGCCCCTGGTGGCTCAGTGGTAAGCTTAAGAAATTATTATGCTAAAATTTGGATTTCAATCCCTGCAGAAGGTACAGCATGGACAGCTCATCATATATATTTGTGTTTAAAAATAAATATAAACAAACTTACGGTGGACTGGATCAAAGTCAATAGCCTGAATCTGATTCTCTCTCACTCCTTGAATCAAAGAAGTTTGTCTTTCATTAGTTACATCAAGCACACGGATTTCAGGACCATCTGTAAACAGCATAACAGATGGAGAACCTAGAAGAAGGTTAATAAACATGAAGCATATCTTCAACATAAGATCACTGTAAAAAAAGACATAATACATAAAATGAAAAGATAGGTAAAAAAAGATGATCTACTACATGAAAAGTTTGTAAAACATTCAATGCATAATATCAGAGAAAGGAAAAGCCTTCGAATTATTGACTTTTGAATAATGAAGTGGACTAGAGTTGTATAATTAAACCATACCTTACGAATGTATATCTACAAAGAAAGTTTAAAATGTTTGTTTCAGATGCCTAAGTAACTATTAATATAATTACTCAAAATTTTCAGAATATATAAAGCTTAAAGTGTGAAAAGTCTCAAAGATTCTTAAATTATTCCTTATGAACAGAATATTATTAACATTATAAACTGAGTTCAAGAATAACAGTTTAATATTATTTTCCTGATTTACATATTTTTCATACAATCGATGAGACCAGCTTTCAGAAGGTTTATCAAAGTTTAATAATTGAACTTATGATTTCGTACAGTTATTTATCTTATTTCTGTATGTATGATTCTATTTTTTTTATCAGTATTTACTGGTTATGTACTTTCATGATCTCTTAAATAATTTAGCCTGACATTTCTGATCAATACTAAAATTTCATAGAGCTTAAAAAATAATTTAGCAAATACCTGCAGCTACACATCCATCAGAAAATTGCTTAAATCCTTCACTACAGGTGCACCTGAATGTTCCATTGTAGTTAGTGCAAATCTGTGAACAGTTGTGGCCAAAGGTTGCACACTCATCAATATCTAATCAAATAAGGCCATTGCAAATAAAAAAATTAATTCATTCTAGGGGCTAATAAAAACATATGTATGCTTAAATAATGTTAAAATACAAGAGAGGAAAATCTGCAATATTAATATCAACAATCAAAAGCTTTTGGCAAATACAATAAATTCATGTTAAGTCTATAATTATTTATTGGGCTCACACGAACCACATCTATTCTTTTGTAGATATTTCTCAATGCTAATTATGCAACAAATGGCTTGTATGTCCCTTCTGAGTCACATCAAAAATTTAAACAAAAAATATCATCGATATTCCTATTAAGCATAATTATCATTGGGATCCCCTGTGTATTTTACATAGAAAATTAGTTATTTCACCATAATTTTTGGTCAGCTGTTTACAATGAATGCTTTAACAAGAAAAAAAACAACACTTAATATGATTCAGTATGAACACTATAAAAGTCATTTTATTTAAGAGTTAATATAAATTACCACAGGAATATTGTAAAATGCATTAGAAAAAACCCAGTATATCTCCAATTAAAGTTCAGGTTACAGAAGTCTTTTTAAACACCTATTCTGAGAAATAATAGGATGTCCAAGATTGTTATAATGCCATAAAAAAAAGACAATAACTATAAACTAGTCAGTCTGAGCCTTTCTACAGAATGTTAGACATAACATACACTATTCCTTCTCTTTGCCACATTCTTCCTAATTTTACCCTATTCTTTGCACACAAGCTTGTACCATATCTTTTATACAACAATTGTTCCATTGTTTTTCTCACCCCACCTTTATACTTTTGTGATAAGAGCTTTGTGTCATCCATTTCATGTTGGTTTAGTTTCATTCTCTGTATAAAACTCTATGCAGTTCAATCCTCATATATTTAGCTTTATTCTTACATTCAAGGTTTGTCCAGTCTTAAATATGCTCCATCCTATCCCGTAAAATTATAGTTCCCTTTGTACAAGTTCTGTCCTACATATTCTAAAATAACTTTGCACTGTCCTTTCTATCACAGTTTAAATGATCTTCATGTAAAAATAATTAAATCAAATAAAACTTTTTCCTTTCTGCTCATAGTTTTAATATATTAAATGTTTGTTAAGACTCATCAATGTCTTAGCATTTTTTCTGATTCATCATATACTACATCAAATTTAATTTGTTATTCACAATATGCAATATTTCATTTTTAAAAGTTTATTTGTAAAAAGCACAATATAAATGACTACAAAACTATATAAGAAGTTCATGATAATAAAAACAAATTAAAATGCATAGAATTTAAGCTTTAATATAAATACACAATATTTCATTAACTCACCATTCCCAAGTGCAATATGTAACAGTAATAGCTAAGAGGGACAGCCCAGATAATTTACCTAATAAACAGCTAATAACAATTCATTATTCAGAAGCTTAGAAACAGAAACACATACAATATGAAAAAATATATCATTTCAGCTTTAATAATAGTGAAGTTACAGTAAATCTTACCCTCACAAAGTTTTGGATTACTTTCTACTACTCTGTAGCCTCTAGGACAAACACAAAGATACCCTCCTTGTTCTAGTGCTGTGCAATTATGTTGACAACCTCCACGGGTGATCATGCCACAAGTACCTGTATCTGTAAGTTCAAAGAAACTATCATTTATATTCCACAGTGTCTTTAAGATCGTAGAATCCTAGTAGTTTATATCTTAAAATGTACCAGAAATTCAGATAACTGATGATAAAAAAAAAATCAAGACAGTATTAGCACTGTAGTTTACACTTCCAAACAAGTGTCAAAAGAAAGTTAATGACTCCTTACTAGAAAAGAAATTTTTCATCCACTAACAGAAACAAGTCATGGTCCAAATTATTATTTATTATCAGTATAAACAATTAAATTTTGATTTCCTTGTTTAGGATTTTGCATCATGAGTATCTAAATGGCATTCAATTTGTTTTCATCAATCATGTTACATATTATCTGGATGATTTGTTTGTCTGTTTGTAGTTGAGCACAAAGCTACACAATGGGCTATCTGTGCTCTGCCCACCATGGGTATCGAAACTCGGTTTCTAGCATTGTAGGTCTGCAGATATACCGCTGTGCCACTGGGGGTGGGGCTATCTGGATGATGGGAAGTCTGTGGATTTGGTGGACTTTGATTTTCAAAATTTGTGCAATTTGTATGTAGAGTTTGTAGGTTGGAGGAGAAGTTAGTTATTGAAGGATAGACAACAGATAAAAAGAAGTGTAAACTGTGGGAAATAGCAGCAGGATTTCAAGAGAGCTTAAACTTTTACATGCAAGGAATACACCACCTAACAATGACTTTCAGGAAGTTACAAAGAGTTCTATGAGGGTAAAAGTAGTGGATATAATTGTAATGAGCCTATTCTATTGAGTAACAGATTTCAGTCCTTGGCTTCTGCAGATGAGGAAATATTGGAGGGAAGGAAAACAAAAAGGACAGGGAAGGATACAGATGATAAACTTAAGGAGGTTATAGTTATAGGTGATTCCTTGATAAGGCACATGGGTAGGATAGTCTGTGGGGTAAATAGGGAGAAAATAATTAGATTATGCTACCCAGGGACACAGGTGAAGGATAAGTGACAGAACAGGAAATACAGTAAAGGGGACTAGCAGAGACACAGTTATTTTTGTGCACATAGGGCTAATGATATAGGGAAAGGTAGGACAGAGGAGCTAATTAATAAGTACAAGGGGTAGATAAAGAAATTTAAAGAAAATAGGTCATAACTTAATTTGTCTGGGATTCTGCCCAGAATTAATTGCGGATATGAAGTTATAAGTAGGGCTAAATGCTAGGATTAGATTAATATGTAAGGATGAGCAGATTGGCTGGTTGGGGTCGGGTTGTCTGCAAGGGCTATTAAGGGAAGTTTTAAACTAGCACTAGACAATGGTGAGGGCCAGGATAAACTAAATGCAAAAAGAATAAAAGGAAGAGAAAAGTTTAACATAGGAAATGAGTACAGAAATAGTTATAAGGGTAGGCTTAATTGTTACTATTGTAATGCTTAGAAGTATAAGAAATAAAATGGATGACCTCAGAGCACTGGTGAGAATGGAGGATTTTGATATAATGGAAATAACTGAAACATGGTTAAATGTAGATGATTTTGATGACAGAAATTTCTTTGAAATAAAGGGTTACAGGTTATTTAATAGGGATAGAGTACTGAAGAGAGGAGGAGGAGTGGCTTTATATGTAAAATGTTAGTTACATCCTTTTGAAGTTGAGGATATCAAAGATAATAGCAAGGAGATTAAATCCATTTGGGTTTCTATTAGTGGAAATAAAGGGAAAAGGCTTTTAATAGGAATTCGTTACAGACCACCAGATGATAATGAGGGAATTAGTGAGAAACTTTACAATGAAATCAAGATTTCAGCTGTTAATGAAGTCAGTATTGGTGGTTTTAATTTCAGGCATATAGACTGGGAAATGTTAGAGGGAGAAAGGTTTTGAAAACTGTTCAATATAGCTTTCTTCACCATTGGTCAAGGAACCTACTAAAAAAAATGCTATTTTAGATTTATTGTTAACTTCAAATACAGAAATGATCGAGAGGGTGGAAACTGGGGAACATCTGGATGCAAGTAATCATTGCTCTATCAAGTTCGATATTTTGCTGCATACGGAGATAATGAATAATTTTGATATTTTGGTTACAAATTTCAAAAAAGCTAATTTTGAAGGGATGTGACAAGAATTATCCATTGTGAATTGGGCAGCTGAGTTATTTGTAAACACTGATCGAATGAGGAAAATTTTCAAATATTCAAGGTAAACATATTCCTTATATAATATATATATATAAAAAGAACTTGTCTTTTTAAATATATAAAAAGAACTTTTTACTTGTCTGCAAGTAAAAAACCAGGTTGGCTCACAAATTAAAGAAAAGCATAATAGATTTAAAAAATTTAAATTGAGTGGTATGACAAGAGATTTAGAGGATTATAGAAGACCAAGAAAGTTGGTGAAATAGGAAATTAAGATATCAAAAAGGATTTATGAAAAAAGGTTGGCTGAAAATGTAAAAACTAACAGTAAGGATTTCTTTAAATAGACTAAGGGTAAATAAAATTTTAGGATGGGGTAGGACTTTTGGAAGGCTTTTATCTGATGATTATGAGATGGCTGGGTTATTAAATTCTACTTTTTCTTCAGTTTTTACTAATGAAGATTAAGCAGTATTTCACATGTTGGTCATCGAAACAAGATTGAACAAGATGTTTACATTAATTCTGAGCTTGTTAATAAAAAATTGAGAAGTTTAAAGAACAATAAGGCTCCTGGGCCAGATAATATTTCCCCAAGGGTTTTGAAGTAGTTTAAAGATTGGATATGTGAGCCACTTGCTACTATTTTTTGTTAGTCCTTGGATAGTGGACAGTTGTCAGTGTATTGGAAGTTAGCTAATGTCATTCCTCTTTTCAAGGGAGGTAATAAAAATTATCCAAGTAATTATAGACTAATTAATCTTATGTCAGCTGTGAGAAAAGTTTTAGAAAGTCTGATTAAAAATGCTTAGCAAAGCCTTTTAATTAAGTTTAGAATTTTATTGGATAGTCAACATGGTTTCACAAAGGGAAAATCTTGTCTTATAAATCTTTAGACATAAGGTTACTGCTTATGTATATGAAGGTAAGCTATATGTAGATTTGGCACATCTGGATTTTCAGAAAGCATTTGACAAGGTGCTACATAAAAGGCTTGTAAAAACATAATCTCTAAATGTGTGGGATAAGTTAGCAAATTGGATAGAAGAAAGCAGAGGGTTGTTATAAATGGAGTTCAGTGAAACTGAATTATTGCTAAAAGTGGGCTACCTCAAGGCTCAGTCTCAGGATCTTTTATCTTTTTGATTTACATCAATGACATAGATGAAAAAATGGTCAATAAATTATCTAAATTTGCAGGTCTTGTGTGTTGCTAGCTGTGAAGAGGATGCTGCTGATTTACAAAAGGATTTAGATTATTTAGTGAGTTGGGCAAATAAATAAATGATAAAGGGTTTCTAATTTTAATAAATGTAAGATAATGTATGTGGGTTATCATAATTTAAATTATGAGTTTAATTTGGATGGGAATAACCTTAACAGTGTCATGAATGAAAGGAATCTTGATGTAATGATCGATCAATCTCTTAAGCCATCCAAGCAGTGTACTGTTGTTAGTGGTAGGCAAATAGGATTTTAGGTTGTATCTACAGAAATATTTGAATACAAGTCTAAAGAGGTTATAATATCATTGTATAGGTCACTGGTTAGGCCACATTTGGAGTATTGAGTTCAGTTTTGGACTTCTTACCTTATGAAGAACATTGAATTATTGGAAAGGGTTCAGAGGAGGGTTACTAGAATGGGCCTGGGATGAAGGGATTGTAATACGAAGAGAGGTTGATATCTGTTAAATTGTTTTCCCTTGAAAAAAAAAGTTAGGTGTTTAAAATTGTTAAGGGAATTGATAGTATTGTGGCATCATCTTTTTCCATACTTAACAGTGAGAATAAGAGGACTAGGGGACACAAATATAAATTTTGTCAGGGTAGGAGACATCTTCAGTTAAGATACTTTTCTTTTTCTAACAGGGTGGTTGGTCTTTGGAATGGGTTGCCTTCAGATATTGTGGAGGCAGTAAATGTGAGTTTAAGAAAAAGCTTGATAACTATATGAATGATAAGGACTAGCTTTAAGATTTGTTTTTAACTTACTTATCTATTAGTTTTAGTTTAGTTTAGAGGATGGGACAGCCGAGACTTTTCTTTTTCTAACAGGGTGGTTGGTCTTTGGAATGGGTTGCCTTCAGATATTGTGGAGGCAGTAAATGTGAGTTTAAGAAAAAGCTTGATAACTATATGAATGATAAGAACTAACTTTAAGATTTGTTTTTAACTTACTTATCTATTAGTTTTAGTTTAGTTTAGAGGATGGGACAGCCGAGATGGACTGATAGGTCCCTTGTTGTCCCAAAACATTATGTTATGTTATAATTTGGATCACATATTTAATATAAATGGGGACCCACTCAGTAGTGTGACTGAAGAAAAAAGATCTTGGCATAATAATGGATAATTCATTTAAACTATCAAGGCAGTGCTCTATTGCTGTTAGCAAAGCTAATACAATTTTAGAGTTTTTATAAATATATTAATTGCATGCCAAAAGAGGTAATCATATCTCTATAAAAATCACTAGTTAAGACTCACTTGGAATACTTTGTACAGTTTTGGTCTCCTTATCTAAAAAAGGATACTGACTTATTAGAAAGGGTTCAGACAATGGCTACTAGGATGATTTCAGGAAAGAAAGGGTAATCTAAAGAGATAGGTTAAAACATCTTAATTTCTCTTGAGGGTAAGAGGTGATCTTACTGAAGTTTACAAGACTATACAGGGAATTGATAATATAAAGCTCTCTGATTTCTTTTGTCTTGTATTGTGAAAATAACAGGATGAGAGGACACAACTTAATGAATTAGAAAATTCCACTTTTTTCTGACAGAGTTATTGTCTTATGTAATGAATTGCTGCAGGCAGTAGTGGACACTAGTACTTTAGAATAGTTTAAAATGGAAATCAATATCCCAGACCTGAGAACTTAAAAAAAGTTGTTTTGGTTTTAATAATAGATTTTCCATAATTCAGCTATGTAGATTTCAAAAATAATATTCAGGATTTTTTACAAAATGGGAAGAAAAAAAACTCTTACTTAGATTAAATTATTATTTCATTTACCGCAATGAACAAAAAACAAAAAAATGTGCTGTGGTCTTTCTTTTATGTATTGCATCTGGAGCATCTTGTTTCAATGACCAGTGGTAATCAGCCATCATGCTGATGTTCCACCTTCCCTGATATCTTGATGAAACTTTTCCCCTTGTTCTTCACTGATGGCACCGAGATTTTCAGGGAAATAATCAATATGTCAGTGAAAGAAATGAACTTTCAAGCTCATATTACAATCCAACTGTTTGAGTTTATTGAGCATGTTATTGACAATATTTTTGTAATCTGGGTCCTTGTTGTTTCTTAAAAATTTGTCAATAACATTATTAAAGGCAATCCACGCTTCTTTATCAACTTTCCTCATTGTCGTTTCGCACTGTTCATTGGAAGTCAATTTCCTAATCTGAGGCCCAACAAAAATTTACCACAAATATAACAGAACATGTTTGGGTTATTTACATAACCTCTTGTTGCCAGAACAATGAATAAATAATAATGAAATAAAAAAAAATTATGTCAAAGTGCACACACACAAACAAATAATATCCAGAAATTATGTCATGCGGCCTATTAACCATTTATATACTAGCAGTGTGTTTCTCATAGGTTCTAGAACGATCGATAAGACTCTCACATCGCGATTGGTCTAGAGGAATCTATAGCCTAAGTTTGTCAACATTTTAAGCATAACAAAATGTGACCCGATTTCAATGAAAATGATTCACTTGTGTAAAAGTACAAATGACATTTTGTGAAAAATCTGTACATGATGGAGAAAAATGGACATCATGTTTGGATTCATTGTACAGGAATTACTGGGCAACAACTAAAAATTTCAAGACAATAAACCCATCACAGGCCTGTGTAATTGTTGTCCCTAAACATTATGTTATGTTATATCATAAATTTTTACTATTTTTCAATTATGGGTGTGCAGCAACAATGTTTGAAGGATCAAATGGTTTTTTTTGTTGTCTATAAGTTATGTTATGAAAAAGAAATAAAGACTCACAACATCCATTTTCATCAGACTTATCTCCACAGTCATCTTCATGGTCACATATTTTGCTACGAGGAATGCATTTACGATTGGCACACTGGAAACTTGTGTCATCACATGGAGTGGGTATTTTGTGGCACAAGGTGTGGTTGTTTTCATCTGAGCCATCACCACAGTCATCAACACCATTACACAGATGAAAACGTGAGATACACAGATGATTTGCACATTGAAATTTGTGCTTAATATCACACTTGAAGTTTCCTACACAGAAAGATTGATATATATTATTGGAAAGATGAATTAAGAAAAACTAGCAATACCGTTTTTCTTTTTATTCTACTTTAGCAAGGATTTTACTATCTTCAACCACATCAACAATTTTATTATTAAAAGTATGAAATACTGAGACTCTTACTACATAAGTCATCCTCTTCATCTGATGAATCACCACAATCATCATCACCATCACAAATGAAGTTGTCTCGTATGCATATCTGTAATGATATTTTAAACAATTCTACAAAACTGTCTGTTACATAGTTAAGATAAAAGTGAACTTTAAATATACATGATTAGATATATAAGAACCAATACAGAAAAAAAGTTTTATGGACAGTTATACAAACTGTTATTTCTATGTAATACTTATAAATGTAAAGTATTCACAATTTCAGTATGAGAAAACATTGAGCCTGTTTAATCAAGTTATTTTACAATTAGATAAGAGCACTTAGATGACTTATATACTATACTGAAATCATACATCTAATGAGCTTTCTTGCAAAGAACTTCAGTATGTGCAAAACTTAGGTATAAAAAATAAAAGTTATTGAAAACTATCTCATCTACTGTACCAAATAGGTCAAACAGTACAAACATGTATGCTTATTGGTGTTTACATTATACTTTAGATAACAATAAACAAGACTTCACTTGTATAATTGTGGGTTGATACATTAATCATTCAAGCTCACAACAATATCATTTAAAATTAAGTAAATTAATACTAATATTTTAAACTTATTATAATCTTTACTATAACTATTACACTACCTTGAAGTTAGGCTGTCAGACGTATTAGTTATGAACATACTGATAAATTATTTTAAGCTTATGTCTTTCAAAATCTTTTGGAAAAATGCCAAGAGAATACAAATTTGTAGAACATGACAACCATAATACTGCACAAAGAATATTTCTGGGTCTGAAATCATGATATCTGGCAGTCTATTATATGTTAAGAGTTAGTCTATTTTAGTACAGTCTCACTGAAAAAAAAAGAAAATTTAATGCTGAAATCAATACAAGTATATAATTTATTCCACTTTAGTATGTATCTATAGTATAAAATATCAATTAGAAAGAGGCCAATATAAGCCCATGAGTTTTGTGGAAACTGAAAGTAGCTGAGAGTACAGCTCTGTAGCCTTCAATAGAAGGAGACAAGCTATGATGATAAAAGAGGTACATGAAAAGGAGACAAGCCATTAAAGAGTTGGAGAGTGACAAGAAACCAAACTCCATAGGCACCATTTCTGAAAGACAGACCTATGAGATTGGCATAATGCTAATGAGGAACATCCACAAGAATGTGACAACATTCGAGCTATTGAAGAAGAGAAGCCAACTTCATGAACAAAGGACCACATAATAATAAGCAGTAAAGCTGTACACAACAAATGTCACTGGAGAAGGTGTACCAGATATAATGGAATAGGGTCCTTCTGAGATAAACTAGAGGAGTGGAAACCATGGTGGAGAAGAACAGCATTGAACAATAAAAAAATGAACTATGGGACAACTGATCAAGGCAAATACTCAAGAAAGAATATTACGATACAATGATACTTGTGTAAGTTTTCACACAGATGTGTTAAAGAAATAAAGTCAATGTTTAGTAGTACACAATAAATTTAAAATGAGACTGTCCCAAGTCTCAAAATACAATAAATAATTGTTTTACTTAATAATTTTACTGTATAAAGATAAGATAAAATATTGTGAGACTAGAAACAGTTTCATACACTCTACATGTTTCAATGTCTCACTGCAAGTTTTTCCAAGAGTTAAGGCCTATATAAAATTTTAAAAATCACATGATCAAATTTACACGCAATTCAGCTTAAAGAATTTTACTCAACCTATTAGCAACATTTTCCTTCATCCTTATTTAATACTTGAAAATTATTTTTGCTACATTTGGTTATCTCAATAGATTCACAGACATTATTACTGTTGACAGTTGTTGAAAAAGAAAAAAGAAGGGGATCAAAAACAGTATAAACTTGATCTAGTATCAGAGAAGGGTTTTTAAAAAACCCTAAATTTATAAATTAATTATTTTTAATTTTAATTGATAACCAACTAGATATTTTAAAATAAATTTAAATTTTTCAGCTGGTCCAAAATTTATTTACAAAGAAGACATTATAACAGAATTTGAAACTAATTTAAAAAAATTAAAAAATTTTAATAAAGCTCAAACTATAAGAAGTGAATGCTGCAATTCCGTTAAGAATTTTAAATCTACAAATAATAAGAAAAATATATTGAAATTTTAAAGAGCTTAGAAGAACAAGATATGGTTCCTTCTAAAGCCAATAAAGGGGTAAAAACTGTACTTATCAATAGAAAATATTATGATTTAAAAATTGAAGAATTGCTTAAATAAGGTCTGTGCAGAAGATAAAAATTAATCCAATAAATAAACTCCATACAATAGTAAAAGAAAAAGTTAAAATTTGTATCACCTTAAAACCTCAAGAAAAGAAGGTTTAATTGCAAGTAACTTTATATTACTTAGATTATATGATTTACCTAAAATTCATAAGAATGGGGAAAGTTATAGACCTATTGTATCTAATACTAAGAGTTCCACATACAATGTAGCAAAATCCATATAAAAAAGTTCTTATTTTTAAGGGATAAAAATAAATACAGAGTTAAGGATTCATTAGAATCTGCTGAAAGAATGAAACATGTAACACTAGATCATTATGATATTTTAGTGTTGTTTGATGTTGTTTCATTGTTCACTAAAGTTCTTGTGAAAAAAGCCATTGCATGTTTGAGAATAAGTTAAAGAGAGAATTCAGCTTTAGAAATAATTGATATGATTAATGTTCTTGAAGCAAATGTTAAAAATCCATGTTTTCAAATTAAGAGTACAGTTTATAAAACAGAATGAATTAGCAATAGGTTCTTATTTATCTCCATTATTATGTGATTTATTCATGGACAGTTTGGAAACTGAAGTATTAAGAAATGCGAAAAATAAACTGGAATTTGGTTTAGGTAGGTTGAAGACACATTTTATATTTGATATGGTGGCATGGTAAAGAGAATGTAAATGATTTTGCTAATTACCTTAATAACATTGACAACTCTATTAAATTTCCATATGAAATTGAGGAAAAATAACTATTTACCTTTCGTAGACATTATAGTATGTAAAAACAAGGTAAAACTAGAACTTATATTTATAGAAAACCATCCTTAGTAATATGCCTCTAAATTAAAAATCATGTCACACTAATTCTTTTTATTCTTATGTGGATAGAATTTTAAAATTATGTTGGAGACAGAAAGATACTAACAATGAAACTAAAAAACAGGGATAAAAATATGCTAAAACCAATTACTGAAAAAAAAATACAGAAAGAAAGACTTGTATTACCATTTATATCAGATTTATCTTGTCAAATAATGCAATAATTTAAAAAAAAAGCATCTTTCCAATATATAGACCAATGAACAAGACTGGCTAGATTCTTAATTATAATTAAAGATAAAATTGATTTAATGGAAAAACTGGTATATACAAAAACATGCAAGTGTGAAAATATTTATATAGGACAAACTAGAGGAAATTTAAAATACAGAATAAATTAATATAAAAGACATGTTATAAATAATAATACAAAGATCCTGCCTTTAGCTGAACATATTAATGAAACTAAACACTTGATTCAATGGGGAAAAAACTGATATTTTAGCACAACCTGCAAACATCAATGGTAATAATATCCGTGAATCTACTGAGATAATTAAATGTAACAAAAATAATTTTAAAGTATTAAATAAGGATGAAGGACGGACCAAAGGAATTAAGTTGAATTGTATGTAAATTTGATCAAGTGATTTTTGAAACTGTAGATAGGTTTTAACTTTTGGAAAATATTGCACTCCTGATGATGATGAAGTAAGATTTCAAAACATGTAGAGAGTATGAAACTGTTCTCAGTCTCACAGTACTTTATCTTTATACAGTAAAATTATTAAGCAAAACAATTATTTTACTGCATTTAGAAACTGAAAACAGTCTCATTTTAAATTTATTATGTAATATTATTTCTTTAATACATCTGTGTAACCCAAGACAGAAGATGAAGAAGATGGTAGGCATAGAAAAAAAAAATTCCCAAGACAGAATCAATACACCCACTGCTTGAGAATCTGGGCCTCGAAATGGAAGTCAGTAAAACATCAAAAGATGATTCACTGCCATCATAAATGAATCAAGCACAGGATGAACAAACAGCTAGCACAACCTATGATATACCAGTTCAGAGAAAGACATGATAAGAATGTAGCCAAGAAGGTACAAAAACTGCAGTAAACACGGATTGTGAGATTGAGTCCCACCCTACCTATTGTTATATATTACTTCAGTTGAAGTATCTGCAAGTACTAAAATACAGTTGGTGTAACAAGGGCAGGAATTCATATTGATCAGCCCAAAAGTTTAAATGAATTATGTGAGAATGGAATATCTGAGAAGACTACAGACTTGGAAGATGTATCCAATACATCACTCTAGCCTTGAAGAGGCATTGGTGAAAAGATCCAAATCTGGAGGAGCCAGAAGAAAAGGGGAACCTAAATCAGGAAACTCATAAATGAGCCACATTTGAAAGTTATTGATAGGAGGAGAAATTCCAATAAACAACAGAACTGAAGATAGACTCTATGGAGTGACAAGGTCTGACTGATGGTATCTGAAGTATGCACAATCCACAATAACTGCCATTTAAAGAAAAGCCATTATTTCAAAATGAGAGAGGATGTGTTTTTCAGATGAAGTATGTGCACCCAAACTCAAGAGGACTGCAAAGCCAAATGAGAATGTTAATACAAAGCTTCAGATGAAAGAGATATTGAGCAGGCATTACTGAAACTTGGACTTATGAATAGTCCATTCAGAAGAAGCTAACTAGGAGGTCAATTGACTGTGAGGCAACACTGAGCAAAAATCCTCTAATCATCCATGTAATAACAATCAATACTGAGTGTGTATAAGAACAGCTAATGGTTTAACTACATGTGTAAAGACAGACTACTAAAGCCAGACCAAAAAAGGGACATAAACTGAGAAATCACTCCACTATGTGAACAATGAAGATAGTCAAATCAGGATGTGTAATTAATCATCTGTTAAATCCTCATTCGTCATCCATAAACCATAATAATGGAAATTTCATCATATTCTCACAGGCTTCCCCTACAATGAAGGAATATCTAGATAACAAAGGAGATGGTAAAGATCAAAGACTAACCTCCAATCTAATGTTGTCTTTGGTACCAGAAATAGATGAAAGTAAAAACCCTGAGGAAACAAAGTACAACATCAATATTCTCTTGTTGCGGAAATAGGTTCAAAGCTGCCAGATCCAAAATTAAACAGAAACTGGAAGAGTTGAATTTGGATGATAGAGAATCAAAGTAAAACATCTGATGAATACAAAAGAAAGGGCCTGTAGATGAACAGGTATGTGAGATTATTCCAAATATCTGGATGAATTTGTCCTCCAGAACAGAGAGTCAGTGAGTGAGTCTGCTTACATTGACACTAGACCACACTAAAAATATGACTAGATGTAGCATATAAACAAACAACATTACATTCAGGACCCTATAATGGAATAATGACCACATGCAAAATGAGATGCTAAAACCTAATGAAATCTTAGTGGCAGTATCCCCTTAATAGGAAACAAGTTAAAGTGAAATACCTGCATATATGACAAGTAAAGCAGTTAAAATATATATATTTATGCATATGTAAATCAAATGATTAACATACAAGCACATAGCAAAACAGCCAACAGGCAAAACTATCAAACTAACATTAGAGCCACATAGTAACAGAAACAATTGCAGTTAAACCCATAGGTAAGAAATATATAAAAATATATTAAAATAATCAGGAGAATAAAAATGGCTCAAAAGAAGACAAATCATAGCAGGCAGGGTAGAAGAGAAGACTGACGATGGGTCAAAGGAAAAATCATGTGGAAGACGCTCCCTCTCCACCAAGACCAAACTAAGAATCAAAAACTTCAGTAGGAAGAGTAGAAGGGGATTATAAAACCTATGAATGCTGAGCTAATTTCAAAAAGATACCTCAGTACCAGCAACCAAAAAAAGTAAAATAATCAAGTATGGAAATCACATGACACAAGCACTCTCGGGTGTAATGGAAATAGGTTCAATATTAAAATAATATAACAAACCTGAGAGAAAATAAATGAGACCAGTAGAAGTGTCATCTGGATTAGGGTTAGCACTGTAGCAAACATATCCAGCTCTTCAGACTCTGAAGGTGATTAGATCTGAGCAAGAGGCCTTCATGAAAGAAGAATATTTCCATACAACAATTCTATATCCACCAGGAATATTATTATACAATGGCACAAATGCACTGAACCATCAAAGTTGACAGGCAAACTGCGTAAGTAAGGCTTCCAACTAAGTTACTGAGAATATGTTAATGGAGGAAATAGTTGCATAAGAAAGAATACTATAGCAAAGTGAACAGCATAACTGTCAACAATAAAATCTAAACTATGGCAAGAAAGTAGAGCTTATGTAAACCCCCCCCCATCATGGAAGGTGGGAGAGTGGAGAATTATGAATAAGTGATGAATACTCAGCTATGCATAAAGAATATTTGGAAATTTTTAGTCATATGTTTTATTGAAAGCACAAGTTCAAGCTCAACAAGAAAAGGCTTTCAGAAGACCTATTAATATAAACACATTATCAAGAATACAATCTTGAATTCCATTCATTATTTTGATATATATAGATCAGACTACCAAAAGTTCATATTTCAGTACATAAGTATCAATAAATTACACAATTCAACATTTTAATTATTAACTTTAATAATTATTTTTGCACTTAGTTATTAGTTTTAAATCAATATTTCATGTTATATTTTACATGTATACTTACAGTATTATTGCATTCAAAATAATTATTTAAACAATATCGACCTCCAGGGTAACGTGGTGGACAGTTCCATTCATCAGAAATATCATGGCAGTCTTTGTTGCCATCACACTTGAGTTTTGAAGCAATACAGTGGCCACTTTGACATTTAAATTGATTATCCTAATAGTAACAAAGATATTTTCTATTAATGTTCTTCATCATATTCCCAAATATTTTAAATTTGAATAACAAAAGCCAATATTAATAAAATCATTTTAAAATGTTTTACTCATTGTTTTAAAAATATGGAATTTTTGAATCAGTTACATAAATCTCGATTTGTGCAAACCTTTACATTTACAATGTATTTTTCCATAAATTTCAATAAACTACTAAAACCAAATACTAAGATTAATGGACTACAATGTTGAGTATGTTATATTAAAATGATTTTGAATATATAAATCATTATCTCATGTAACAACCACAGCCAGTATTAAAAATTGTGCACAGACATGTAACAGAACTACATTTTGACTTAATTTACTATCTTATGTAAACAGAACTTGTCATCTTCATACAATAAATTAATTATTGTTAAAAACATGGAGGGAGAAATGATATGCACAGAGTATGACAGAGCCTTTTGCAATGGAAACTAACTGCAGAGCTATTTTCAAGAAGCACAGTCATTCAAAAGAGCACAACTAGATATATTTGGAGACATGGACTGTAATTGCATAATAAGGTTACAAGATTATTTTAACATAATGTACCCAACCTTCTTTACATATATATATATTATTTTTGTCAGTATTTCATAAAAACATTTTTTATGTATATTTGATCATTTCCTGTAAGTAGTCCTTGATTATAATTTTGACTCATGTATATTTTTATTTTATGTTCAAATCTTCTTTTTGATAAACCTTTATAGATTGAGCCGTGTAAAAAAACTTGTTCCTACAGTCTGACCCTGTGACTTATTAATTGTTATGGCAAAGGCAATGAATTTTATGGTGGAGGGCAATTGCAATAAACTATAACTTCTCATAAAAATTCTTATAAACTTTTTGATTATATTTTTAAAAAATCTCCTACTTACAATGAAAAACATTAATAATAAGAATAAAGTATTGTAGTGCCATCTATTTCGTTGAAAAGATTATTTGTTTGTTGGTAGTTGAGCAAAAAGCTACACAATGGGCAATCTGTGCTCTGCTCACCACGAGCATTGAAACCTGGTTTCTAGCAGCGTAAGTCCACAGACGTTTTTGACATATACAGTCACTTGTGTTTATTACATAATATAATATTATCCCTGATTTAATTTATAATTGTATTCCTATTTTTCTGAATATTCAAAGTTTGTTGTAAATATGATAACAAATATATAACACAAATAAATGTAATAATAAAAATGAATTAACATAAAAATCATGACTCAACTTTTAAGACTTCCACGTGATAGTCAAGCACTATAATCACTGTGAAACCAAGTCCTTGTAATTGAATGTTATCAAATATTTCAAATCCCTAATGTAAACTATCATGTTATTGTTGTTTTTCAAAATATTGTAATATATTGCTCTAAACATGATGAGTTAATAATGAAAAAAGGTTATATATACATCATCACTCGACTGGGATTTGGACTCTAGATATTTGCTTGAGACAAACCACTTGAAGGTTACCAAGAAAGACGAGTGTTATCAATTCAATAATGGGAGTGTTACATTAGAGAGTGGTTTATATACACACACACACATACATACATACATACATATTCCAATGTAACAACCTTCTGTCAAGAATAAGAGAGTTAATACTAGAATACACATCTTTACAATTTTTCCACAAGCCATCCAAGACCATTCTAGCAGACCACAAAAATCCAAGCCAATTAGAAATACTCTGGGAGGACTTAATAGGTATGTAGTTGGTGTTACTGTAATTCTAGTTTGTTTGCCTTGCTTTTAATTAATACAGCTGTTTATTACCTTATTGATGGTTCCAGCTTCATTGCTGACTATTTATTAGGTCTAAGTGTTATCTTTCATAACCAAAGACTGTTTTGTAGATAAGGGCACTTCTCTAGATGAGCTTGGGTATGTCATTTTACAGCTAATTTCTGTTCTACATGCTCTGCAGTGCAAGATTTTCGACTTTCATATAAAATATTCCCTTCTTGAAAGTATTGGGTTTGTTGTATCTTTACATCATTTACCAATATCTCAAAATAAGCATTAAAAAGATTTTGGTAAAGATTCCATTGTCAGTCCTAGTTGTCACCTTAAAGTTCTAGCAGATAATGCCTGTGGTAATAGCTCCTAACTGCATTTGGGATATCCCATCTATCAGACATAACTGATGATATACTACCCTACAAACATGGAAAATTAATTAAGGGTATGGAGTTGAGTGCTTATACCCAATTTTAATTGACTATTAACAATTAATGTAATTAATAGTATTGAGGCCCAGCATGGCCAGGTGGTTAAGGCGCTTGACTCGCAATCTGAGGGTCGCGGGTTCGAACCCCCGTCACACCGAACATGCTCGTCCTTTCAAAGAGGGAAGGCTGTCAAGTGGGTTGCATCCTTGACGTAAGAAACAGCTTTAGAAACGTTGGCAGAGCAAAATCTGCCATCGGCTCAACGGTCCGCAAGGACTATGGGAAACAACAACAAAAAAAAAGTATTGAAGCTACTTAATTCATTATATATAATACCTCCAGCCACACATCTACTATGGCAACACTGCACTGCCGCATGGTTGTAAATTCACCTTAAATCAAATAGACAGGCACTAAACATGTCACTCTCAGCATCATGGTTAAAATGTATTGTGTCACACACAATGCATTAGAATGTGCAAATCATTTTTATAAAATGCAATTAATCCTCTATAGTACCTGTAGCTTTTATTTAATATAGCACTATTATCCTACCTTGCATTGGTAATTGAGACAGTTTTTCTCATCACTGTTATCATCACAGTCATCATCATGATCACAACGCCATTTTGATGGAATACACTTCTTGTTGTCACATTGGAATTCACTCTCTGAACATTCACGATAAAGATTTTCTGTTGAGAAAATAAAAGAAATGATTCAACTAGTTACATTTCTTTGAGAATTTAAATAATAGATCAAATATTTCTGAAAGAAGTTATTAGCATTGTAACATTTGTATTTACAGCAACTAAACCAAGTTTTCAAAGAAAAATTCCAGGATATTTACAATAAAGAGATTTGACAACATAATTTCACGAATATTTTGAAAACTATATTTTTCATCACTAACCACATGTTGCTGGATCTTCATCCGAGTTATCTCCACAGTCATCTTCAAAATCACAATGCCACCTCATAGGAATACATCTTTTGTTGCTACACTGAAAGTCACCCATTTCATGACATTTAGGACAATATTCTGGGTTTGCCTCATCTGAATTATCTCGACAATCATTTTTTCCATCACAGAAAAACCAACTTGGAATACAGCGATAGTTGCTGCGAGTTGGACACTTCTGCCAACCTGTACTGCAATTACGATTTCCTGAAAAATGCAAAAAATTTCTGATACATATGTGTTTATGCTTACTGCATGAAAAACAGTACTTTTCAACGTTGCATCAAAGAAAAAAGAAAAAGATAAAATCTTAAATTTTAAATAATGCATTTATTTCCAAAACAAGAAGGAATTTGTTTAACAAGGTTAAACGAGATGATCACATTAAATCTGAGCTTGTTAAGAAAAAATTGAGAAATTTAAGAATGATAAAGCTCCTAGGCCTAATGGATTTGAAGAAGGTTAGGGACTGGATATATGGGTGGCCAAACAGTTCGCTACTGAACATTTCATTCCGAGACATTTCACTACCGGTATTTTCGTTACTAGGGTATTTCACTATCAGATCATTTTGGTACCTGATAATTTTATGTCATAATCTCCTTTACATATCTTATTTCAGATCATAAAATAAAAATATTTTTCCATTAGTTCATTAGACAAACACTCCAGTCAGTAAAATATTAGAAAATATTTCTTAAATATTAGTTTATTAGAGAAACACTCTTTCAAAATAAAAAAGGCTCTTATGTTTGTAAGACATTTTATTTAAAATGATGAAAGATCAGAACTTTTTAAAAATGATTCAGGCTTTCCTCGAATAGTTGTCCAGCCATAATGAGTTATTTATACATAGCTGGAACAGGTAGCAAAATAGACCAGTAGCAAGCTGATCAGTAGCCAAATGTCTGGGAACGAAGTGTTAAGTAGCAAACTGTCCTAGAACCGGATATCTGAGCCACTTGCAACTTTTTTTTTTGTAAGTTCTTGAATACTGGAATATCTGGATAGGTGCCAGATGACTGGAAGTTGGTTAAATGTTATTCCTTTTTTCAAGGAAGATGATAAAAATTGTCCCAGGAAATATAAGCTTATTAGTCTCACATTAGTGGTGAGAAAAGTTTTTCAAAGTCTGATAAATGGTGCTTTTCAAAGTCATTTAACCAAGTTGGTTAGATAGTTAGCATGGTTTCACTAGGGAAAACCTTTGAGTTAATAATCTTTTAACATTCTTTGAAGAGTTAATTTTTATGAAGATGAGGGTAAAGTAGTGGATTTTATGTATCTGGATTTTCAAAAAGCATTTGACAAGATTGGCTCATTAAATAGAAAATTGGCTGGATGGAAGAAAGCAGAGGGTTGTTATAAAGGGGGTACTTTGTTCAGTCTCGGTCTCCTTACCTTAGAAAGGAGATTGAACTGTTGGAAAAGATTCAGCAGAGGGTTACTTGGATGGTACCTGGGATAGTTTTCATACAAAGACAGGTTAAGATCTCTAAAATTGTTTTCTAGCTCTTTAAAAAAAAGAAGAGTAAAAGGAGATCTGATTCAGGTGTATAAGGATGTTTAGGGAAATAACAATGTTGGTGCATAATCTTCTTGCATACTTACTGATGATAATCATTGGACTAAGGGATATAAATATAAATTTTGGAAAGGCAGGAGTTATCTTTAGCTAAGACAGCTTTATTTTTCTAATAGAGTTGTTGGCCTTTGTAATGGATTGCCTTCAGATGTGGTGAATGCAGTTAACTTAAAGGAAAGCTTGATAAACATTTGAATGATAAGAGCTGCCTTTGAGTATTTTAGTTTCATTTTAAGGATTAGTTTAGTGGTTGAGATGGCCTAGATGGACCAACAGGTCCCTTGCTGTGATTAAGTTAATTAATTAATTTTGTATGTAGGTATATATATGAGAGTATGCATGTATAAATTACATCCTAGAAAGTAATCATCACAGAATCCTAAGTTTTAAGTGAAAATAAATATCTAAAAATCTATTCATTTTCCCTTACATTAATTTCTACATATAAAAGTGCTGAATACTTCTTAAAATGTATTATTTTATGGGTATTATATTAATACTTACGGCAAATATGAGCTGGTTCATCTGAATCATCTCCACAATCATCATCATAGTCACAGTACCACAGCTTGGGGATACATTTGCCATTAGTACATGCAAACTGTGTTTTAGGGTCACATTTCATGTGATCTACAACATATAAAAGATCAATTTATGGTTATGATTTCATTACTATAGGTTAGTAATTTAAATCTTCTAACAAAAGTTCATTTGCTTTACTATGTGGATTTTGTAGTAATGGTATTTCAAAATGTATATCTTATTCACTTTATAGATAAAGATTACTAAATTACTAATTGCTGCACTTAATATGCTATCCATGATTTACTAAAGTAGTTCATTTTACACTTCACTAATACTAAATACTTACGGCATACAGCAGTATCTTCATCTGACCCATCTTTGCAATCATTGTCTCCATCACACTGCCAAGACTGAGGAACACAGCGACCAGTATCATTACATTTGATGGAATGCTCACCACAAGGAAGATCTGTAACCCAGTTACAAGAAAAACAGAATAATAAGAAAGACGTTTTGATATACTTTATTTTTCTCTTTTACCGTTGTGGCCCATGATGTTAATCTTGCAATATGTATTGTCACTCAGCTAGAAAGAAGTTTAATGAAACTTTATGAGTATAATTTTCTCTAAAGTTTAGGAAACAATTTTAGTGATTTAACATACATTTGTATCTAGCTATCTATATATACATATACAGAGAGAGATAAGGAGTGAGTTACACTAAAGTTAATTAGTCAGACATTCAATGAAGTAATGAGTGATTAAAAGAGTGAGTTTGTCAGTTAATGAGTATCAGCATGATTCAGTCAATTATTCTATTTCTTCAGTCAGTTAGTCAGTGAGTTGGTTCAGTACTGAGAATATTAGTTTGTGTTTTTAAAAAGAAACAGAGATACAAAATCAAAGACAAGTGGAATTTCTGTTAAACATGGTTTATTTTGTGATATTAGATCATTTGGTAAATAATGGCTTTGCTAACCAATAAACATTAATTTGAAGAGATAACACATTTCTTATCATTAAGTGGACTAGATTTTCCATTACTGCCTTTACCAAATAATCCAAAAGTATCAGCCCAACATTTGAAATCATGACAACATTAATTTTGGCTCTTTTTGCAATAACAATAACTATATTTAAAAACTTTGTGTAACATATAATCTTAAATATTCAACTTAATAAACATATAAAACAAAATATTATTAAACCTACTGTGTTCTCAATAAATGCAGAAAAAAAATTATCTTCTAGATATTATGATCCAACCAAGGCAACAGTACAGTCAGAGAAATATCTTCTCATGCTATGACAGGCAAATTGTGCTTCTTTTACGACTAATACAAGTTAATGCTTCACAAATATGTCAATGTGTAGAATAATCTTAGATGTTGTTAAAGCACTCACCACAATACATTTCATCCGAGTTGTCTCCACAGTCATTATGTCCATCACACAGTTTGACCTGGGAGATACAAGTCACATTCTTATGACACTGGAACTGGCCTACCTTACAATGGAAGGGTGCTGCAACCATTAAAAAAAAAAGGTCATTATTAAATTTACATGAAGGTGAAATATTAAATTTTCAGTAAATGTACTTTTTGCCAATCTGATAAGATATAAATATGTAATATTTTCTCTTAGACTTTCGCTTCCTGCAAGTCCAGCATGACCAAAGAGGACAAAAGTACATTAACAAAACATACATTAGAAAAATTTCTCCACCCTCCATCAATTTCTTTATATATATATATATATCATATTAATAATTATAAACATGTTATTTTTTCAAAAATATAAATAAAGATTGTTTTGTTGTGTTTTTGTACATTTGTATTCAATCTCTTTCCTTCTCAAACTCAGTCAAAGTTAGAGAACTCAGAATTACTTCATAATAGATATCATTTTGAATCTCCTGTTATTAAGCAAACCTATCTAATTGTTACAAGGTTAACTTAATTTTAAGTGAACTTACCACAAATCTATATTTTATATATTGTAACCATGAATAAAGATAGTAGTATCATACATTTTACAAGATAGGACTGACATTTTGGCCAACAGTAAGCAAGTTGAAACAGTCTTTCAATTGCTGACAAGATATGAAATCTGAACTCCCTTACCAACTGTACTTTACCCTGGTGACAAAGTACATCAAAGAAACTTGTATAGAAATAATCAACAATGCTTAAGTACACAAACAGTGAAGAAAGCAAGTTACACATATGTAAGGTACAGGACAAAACCTCTGAATCTTAGAGGTTTAGAGTAAGAATGCAGTAATCAATCACTAAAAACAGAAAGGATGCATATACAAGGTGATTATAAAGAAAGTTTTGGGGTTCAGAATGCCATACCTTACAAATGGTACAGCAGAAGAATGTGAAATTACACAATTACACAGGAATGGTAAGGGTATCATGTGGATGCAAATGTTACAGTTGTCACATGTTGTCATTAGGAGGGGGGGGGGGCACTGTGGAATCTTTTACATATTTCTAATGGGCATAAATGGGACTATCAATTTCAGTGCAGCTTATTCAACCAATACAAAACTCACAAATGTGCAGAGAGGTGAATTAGTGAAATGTTATCACACCAAGAGATGCAATGCAAAGAGTCTTGTTCCAGTGTTGTTGTGTGCAAGTTAATAAAACAATTTGAGGAGACAGGTTACACTTATGATAACCCACATAAAAGCAGACCACCAACACCTACTGAAACTGTCAGTGAGTTTGGATATGTTATAGCAAAACAAATCAGCATAAGTGCACATAGGTGAAACAGTGCATGTTATGTTCACCAGTGACTAGATTTGTAAATGTCAACTGTTTGTAATGCTCTTCAGTCAAATTTGTAAATGTTTACTTACAAGCTATTTTTAGTACAGAATCAGTCTATGTCTCTTTCCTTGTAAATGGCCATCTTGTTCATCAGACATAAAACTAACAGATTTCTAGTTGTGTAGGTACATGAAATCAGTCACGTACCATGAGAAATTTCACATAATTTCAGACCTCAAGAATGCAATTGTCAATGTAGATGCAGTATGCCATGTCACAAAGATGCAATGCATTCTGAAACCTGAAGGAGCAGAATTTGAAAAGATGCTGTGATTGATCAGACATTAGGTTGTACTGGTGCCCCTGGTGGCAGCATGTAGAACTGTAGCATTTGCATCATTTTGATACCCTTAAAAACTCATGTGCAATTGCAATTTCACCTTTCAGAATACTTGCCAACTCTCATGATTTGGGTGGAAGTTTCCCGAATTTGGATCTTTGACACGATCTACCAATTGTGTTTTAAAAATTGGTTATTTCTACCGATTTTAGGCATGTAGACCGATTTTTTCTGGAAATCTATCAATTTGCATAACTATAATTAACTTTTTAATACATTAACAATTTCCCAGTAAACATCAGCCAATCGTTTGCTCTCTATAGCGAAACAAGTTGAGTAAACACATGATTCATACTGGAAATCAGGCTTCACTTGCTTCTTGGCTAATAAAAACTGATTATACATTTAAGACATATTTATTGTTCTAAACCAAGCGTGATTGTTTACATGCTTGTAAGTTGCTTGCTTTGCTGCGAGTCGCACAAAATCTCCCCCATGAGAATTTTGAAAAGTTGGCAAGTATGTTTCAGTGACATATCATTTGTGAGATAAGATGAGATACACAAAATGTTATTGATAACCACCCTGTTCACAAGATTGATTCAGAAAAAGAATAAAACTCATTCAAACAGTAAATTAAGAAGAAACAAGCATACAAGTTTTAACTCTGCTAAGTAAACAAGAAAGGTGTCATTATAAAATATCAAAGTTCACAATCAGACCAAAAAATACCTAATTCAATAAATGTCAACACATGAAAACAGTTACCATTCTAAAGGTATACTATCATAAAAAGACACACTTAATTTTGAAGAACTGAGGAGGTATATAAAATATACCATAACAACTAATCCTGAAGTTGCAAACTAAACCAAGAAAAAAAAGCAAAAGTGGAATACTCTATCAAATGTGGACTTTGTCAAGCCCAGTATTTAAGTGCATTTTTTATGAAGGCACATGCAAACATTGTTTTAAAAATTTCTGTTTGATTTTTCCTTTCAAATGATGAACACTATGAAATTATAACTGAAACTTTCAGATTTATGATTTTGTTTTGATACATGTTTCATTACAATTTGTTTTGAATAAAGTAATAAAGGAAAAATCTAAATTGTTAACCCAAATTTTCATAAAGTGGGCTAGCTCATTAGGTCTGTAACTGTATTACTGGTAATAAATTTGTGAAACCTGGCTTTCAGGTCAACAGTTACAGGTATGTAACATAATGGCATATAATAGTAGTTATATCAATGATGTAGTGGTTTTATTTCATTATAAACTATGAATTCACACAAAAAAAAATCTAATTCAAAATTGTTCAATGAATATCATATTTTACATTTGAAATATGTGTGTGTGTGTGTGTTTCAAATATGATAACATTTACAAGTTATAATAGTTTTTTAATGCAAATATGGAAATGACATTATATTGCCATCAGTGTGGAAAGAGTCATGGAAATATTGTATGATTTTGTATTGCATGATTCTGATTTTCATAAGGAAACTTCTACTATCTAAACCTTTCTTCCACTCTCCACAATTACAAGTTTGTACATAAAAATTAAATTAATAACGCAATAATAATAAAAACTTATATACATAATAATATTTTAAAAATCAATATGTATTATGTAATTCATGAAATATAAAGCTTCTTACAAAACACAAACTTCATAAGTTTCATTGTCAACCTCAGTAAAATAATAATAGAAACCTTTTCATAATGTACAATTACTTATAACCTACAGAAGTGTAGAGCAGAAAGTGTCTAAAAACCAAAAAAAACACTTACGACAACTTTTTTCATCAGATCCATCCCTACAGTCTTCTTTACCATCACAACGCCAAAGTATGGTGATGCATTTATCGTCATTACCACCACACTGATGTTGCCTACTAGTACAATTTGCAATACATGTTTTGTTGTCACTGAGGAAAATAAACTGATCAGGGCAAGCACACTTATAGCCACCACCAGGGGACAATAGACACAAATGACTGCAATTTCCATTATTATTCATACATGGGTTGGGATCTGAAAAAACGGGAATGTTTATAATGATGCTTATTTCATGATTTACTGCTATATTTAGCTATAAAAAATAACTTGTTTTATAATATAATAATTTAAAGTGAAACACATTAGCATACCTAGTGTTTTTTTATGTGAATATAGCATAGTTGTAAAATAAAGCTCTATACAGAAAGTGGAAAAAAATACAAAAACTAATAATAAGCCATGGACAGCTTTATATATATTCACAAAATAACTGTTTAAAAGTTTGTTTACTTCTGTTCTCATTATGGAATTAATCATAAGAATCAGTTTTACTATACTAGAAAGTTTTAGTTTTTAACTTTTTCTGATGATATATTAATACTGAAATGAATAGATACAATTTTATATAATCACACTCAGATTTAATATAACTTGTAAATTGCAAAATTAGGTGTTTTATACAGCTTCTTACTCATTCAAAAGTTTTATTAAACTTTTTAATCTAGGAAGAAAGGCTTTAAAATTTCTTAAGTTGAATATAGAAACATAAGATGTTACTTAGCACTTTTCATTATTTTAATAGGGCTTTTCCTTGAACTGTTCTATAAACCAGAAAGAAATGATGCATACTAAAACAGAGTTCTATAAAATGTCTTACATAAACATTTGTTTCTAATCAAAATTTTAAAAGTTTGCAGAAGTTTTCATTTTCAGCGAAATTACTACCAACTATTATCTGATGTACATATATGCCTGAATAGATAACAGAAAGCACTTCTTCATCCAGGTTAGGTAGTTAGCTCACAGGATCGCCTACAAAAGTTGTAGTATTTTCAAAATGAGACCCAAAACTCAAGCACTTTCGAATAGTTGACTATTTGAAAGAGCTCGAGTTTTGGGTCTCGTTTTGAAAATATTAGCACTTCTTTATTTTATTAAAAAAGTTGGTTCACAAGTTCCTTTAAGACATCATTCAAGAAGCAAGTTTTAAGCAAAAGCAATGTTTAAAGATTACTGGGAAAAAAAAGGAACATATTTAAAATGGTTCTATTGGTGCTATTCCTTGAAAGCCTCAAAAAGTCTCAAGTTATCCAAAATAATCAAAACTACCAAGTCAACAATTGGTTGTGGTAAAGCATTCATTAAAAAAACAGCTCTTACATGGCAACTGTCTTAATGGATGATAGATATGTATATCATAAGGTCTGTGTGAAGTATTTCTCATAACATGGAAGCTCTCTCCAGTAAACTTATGAGCCTTGTAGAGTCCCTTCAAGTTCCAGTCACTCCAGTACATCATGTCATCAAATATAGTGATAGCAAACACATGTGGCACCTTTCGTCCCTGAATAACAATGTGTCGATTTTGACCATTCATGTCAGAAAACCTTGAATGAAAAAAGATTGATAAATAAACTTAAACATCTAAATTTTAATAACACCAACAAATAAAGTACATCTTTACAGTTGTCATGCATCATAAAAAGTATAAACCTTAACTCTAAAAGAATTGCTTCACTAATCGTTAGAAGATTTTAATAAAAAGAATAATATAAATTATAAAAATAAACTTCAAGTGTTTTGTCTACATTC